GGGTACTAGGACCTAACTGGGAAGGTCCATACCGGGTCGACAAAGTAATCAGACCGGGGACCTACCATCTCAAAAGGTTGAACGGTTCCAAAGTACCCCGAGCTTGGAATGCCGAGCACCTCCGACCGTACTATCAATAATCCTGAACTCAACCCTCATTATTTTTGTTAATTTCTTTTCAAGTGTTACCTTGTTCGCTTTAAACAGTTCGTATGTGTTCTGTTCGCATTTGTAGACAATTATGTAAATCGTAAATTGTAAATTGTACACACAATATATGAAAAGAGCGAACTGCAAATTGAAAAGATAATTTCATTTACAAGCGTCCAAAAACCCGATTACAACAAGGACAGCTCACTACGCCTAAGGCTGGTCGGGAAGATCCTTCGAGCCAGAGCCACCTGCCTGGTCGGGTCCCTGCGCGGCCGCGGCAGCCTGGTCGTCCTCTTCGGCCATAATCCGCAAGGTCGCCTGCCAACCCTCCGGTAGGGCGGACATGTCCAAATCCGGGTTCCTTGCTCGCAGGGTGTAGATACACCCAATCGCCCAGTCCGCGGCCTTTTCCTCCAGCTCCTCCGACTGATTCTGCATTTCATCAGTCAGTGAAGCGACCCTCGCTCGACTCTCCTGGAGCTCGGCCTCAAGAGCTAGCCTTTCCTGCTCGGAGACTTGCCTATCCTCTTCAGCTCGCTGAGCCCGTGCAAAGGTCGCCTGAAGCTTCTGGTCCTTTTCTCCGACCTCTCTAGAGAGCCTGGCGGTCGTCCTTTGAAGTTCTCTGACTTCCTCAGCACGCCGATCGAGCTCTGCCCTCTGGAAGTCCTATCCCCCGCTTTCGACAGAATGAACCTGGTCGAGGCCGACCTGAAACCGGCCTCGATTCCTCTTTATGTTTTTACGTGGGATCACCTGATCTCCAATGGGATAATCCATCTCCCAGTCACGCTCGGCGACTACGACGAGGTGACTAGGGTTACCGAATTTTTGGTCGTGGACTGTCCGTCGGCCTTCAATGGCATCTTGGGGCGACCTCTACTGAGGACCTTCCAGGCAGTCACTTCCATTTATCACCTCAAAATGAAGTTCCCCACTCCAACGGGGATAGGGGAGGTAAGCGGGTCGCAAGGCACATCTCGCGAATGCTATGTAAAATCAGTCCAGATGGCCGATAAAGGAAAGGGCATTTCGCGTTGTGCACCCCGCCATGCTATGGCGATCAGCCGGATCGAGCCACAGCCTGGTCCGACGGAGGATAACATAGATCCGCGAGTTCAAGAAATCCCCCCGAGCGGCCCGGTTGAGGATCTGTCCAAAATTTCGGTTGATCCAAAAGAGCCGAGCCGAATGCTAAAGATCGGAAGCTGTCTCAACCCTCAGCTCGCTTCCGAGCTGGTAAGCTTCTTGAAGGAGAACATTGATGTGTTCGCCTGGTCGCATGCGGATATGGTCGGGATTAGCCCGAACGTTATATGCCATTCACTAAACATCAACAGTGAAGCTAAGCCAGTTCGCCAAAAGAGAAGGGCAATTGATCCGAAGCGGTACGCCGCATTAAAATCAGAAGTGGAGAACCTTCTCCGTAATGGATCTATTCGTGAGGCTCTCTACCCGACCTGGGTTGCTAACCCGGTCTTGGTCAAGAAGCCAAATGGCAAGTGGTTGACCTGCGTAGACTTCAGCGACCTGAATAAAGCTTGCCCGAAAGACAGCTTCCCCCTCCCAAGGATCGACCAGCTCGTTGACGCCACCTCGGGGCACGAGCTGTTAAGCTTCATGGATGCATACTCGGGATACAACCAAATCCCGATGTATAAGCCAGATGAGGAGCATACGACCTTCATTACGGACCGGGGGCTATACTGCTACAAAGTCATGCCCTTCGGCCTCAAGAACGCAGGTGCGACCTACCAGAGGTTGGTCAACCGAATGTTCTCCGACCAGATTGGGAGGACAATGGAGGTCTATGTAGACGACATGCTGGTCAAATCCCAGGTCGCCACAGATCATATTTCGCATCTCGCTGAGATGTTTGACATACTCCGACTCTACAGAATGAAGCTGAACCCTCTCAAATGTTCGTTCGGAGTATCGTCAGGAAAGTTCCTGGGATATATGGTCAATCAGCGGGGCATAGAGGTAAACCCCGAAAAGATTCAAGCTCTGCTCGATATGGAAAGTCCGACCAGCAAGAAGCAGGTCATGAGTCTGAACGGGCGAATAGCGGCACTTAGTCGCTTCATATCAAGGCTAACAGACCGCTGTTTACCATTCTTCAATGTTCTGAAAGCCAATAAGAAATTCGAGTGGACTTCCGAATGCGAGCAGGCATTCCAAAGTATAAAAGAGCATCTTGGGAAGCCACCACTCCTCTCTAAGCCTCTTCCACGAGAAATCCTGCTCATCTACCTGTCCGTGTCTCAGTTCGCGGTCAGTGCAGCTTTAATACGAGAAGAGGAAAAAGTTCAGTGGCCGGTATATTATGCAAGTAAGCGTCTATCGGATGCCGAGATGCGGTACCCGGAAATGGAGCGACTAGCTTTTGCCCTGCTGGTCGCATCCAGAAAGCTGCGACCTTACTTCCATGCCCATACAATCAATGTAATGACGAGTTACCCTCTCAGGCAGGTCCTCCAGAAACCGGAGGCCTCGGGTAAATTGCTCAAATGGGCCATGGAGCTGAGCCAGTTCGACTTAAGGTACACGCCCAGGTCGACTATCAAAGGGCAGGCTGTTGCAGACTTCATCTCGGAATTTTCCTATCTCCCAAGCGAGCAACAGTCTAGCGAAGTCGGGCAAGAAACTATCCAGAACCTGTCGACATGGAACCTCTACGTCGACGGGTCATCGAACAGGAAAAGAGCTGGTGCGGGTCTTCTCCTGGTGAGCCCCGAGGGGATCCGAATTCATGGTATTCTCCGGTTCAGGTTTAAGGCGACCAACAATGAGTCCGAATACGAAGCTCTGCTCGCCGAGTTGCGACTCGCCAAAGAAATGGGTGCAACCGCGATCAGTATTTATAGCGACTCTATGTTGGTCGTCAACCAGATCCTCGGGGAATACCAAGCTAAGGAGGAGAACATGGTCCGCTACCTAAAAGAAGCTAAGGTCTCTCTGGGGTCGTTTAAGCACTTCGAGATCGCCCAGATCCCCAGGGAGAGCAACTCAATAGTAGATGCCTTGGCAAAGATAGCCTCGTCACTAGATTCAGAGGCTCCCGATAGCATTCCTGTTAGCTTTGTCAATGCTCCAACCATCGGCTCGACCGAACAGGCCGTGGACGAGGTTCAGCCAGATTCCTGGATGACTCCCATTGTCCAGTACCTCAAGGATGGGACCTTGCCCAGCGACAAGGTCAAGGCAAGGGTCCTACGAATAAGGTCTGCTCGTTTCACACTCATCGGGGATCAGCTGTACAGGAGAGGATTCAGTGCCCCACTCCTCCGATGTGTGACCAGCGAAGAAGCAGACTACATCATGAGGGAAATTCATGAAGGGATCTGCGGTAACCACACAGCAGCTCGGTCCCTTGCGAACAAGATTGTTCGCCAGGGATACTATTGGCCTCGAATCCAGGAGGATGCGAACAACTTCGTCAAGAAATACGACAAGTGCCAGCGGTTCACGAACATTCCGCGAGCCCCTTCTCACGAGCTGATCACTATGTCTAGCCCATGGCCATTCTCCATGTGGGGGATCGACCTTATCGGCCCCATGCCAGTCGGAAAGGGAGGGGTCAAGTATGCCGTGGTCGCGGTAGATTATTTCACAAAATGGGTCGAAGCCGAACCACTAGCCGCGATCACGACCTGAAAGCTGAAAGACTTCGTTTTCAAGAATATAGTGTGCCGCTACGGAATTCCTCACACCCTCATCTCAGATAATGGAAAGCAGTTCGACAATGAGGAGTTCAGGCAGTTCTGCGACGAGCTGGGCATCCATAAAAAATTTGCCTCAGTCGCCAGACCNTTTTTTTTTTTTTTTTTTTTGTAACATGCAAGGCCATTATTTCTGAATACAACTTCGGCATCAAGAATTTATGTAAATCTCGATATTGAGGAGGTGCATTCCCTGCAAGAAATGTAAGATATCCAGAAATTGTATACTATAATATTAAATGTTGTACAACATTGATATCTTATGCATTGTTATTATTATAGAAACCAAAATATGCCAGTTGTTCAATTGCAAAAGAGAATTTTCAATGAAGTACCAGTAGAAAAGGAGATGTTTAAGAATAGAGTGACATTGAAGCATATTACCGATCTGATGTGGTATAACAATGATGATCAGGTACAATTTTTACTATGTAATTAAATTGTTTATTACAACTTTTTTTTTTATATATATATAAGAAATTCATTTGAATAGGTCATTAGACCTTTATTTTTTATATAAAAAATTCATTTGAATAGGTCACTGATTTCACAATAAAGGCTACGTTAAGTGAAGTTGATTCTAGATTTGGTTGGTGCTATTTGTCTTGCAATTTTTGCAAGAAAAAGATCCCAGAGAATTTGTATTGTCAAAAATGCAGAAAAGAATTGAAATTCCCTTAGATGAGGTATGTATATTTTTTTTTCCCTAGTAAATTTTAGATTACAATTCAATTGTTTATGGAATTATTGTTAATGTTACAATAGGTACAAGATATAAATGAAAGTGACAGATGAAAGTGCAAAAACAACTTTTTTATTTTTTGATTCAATAGCCCAGAAGTTAATTGGACTATCTTGCTCTCAATTGCTGAACAACAAGAAAATGACCCAGGAACAATCCCGAAACGTTTGTATGAACTGTGTGGCCAGACATTTGTTTTCAAGATTAGGTTGGGAGATTCAAACCTCAAGGAAAGATATTAATCTTATACTTTAGTGAAAGTATTTTCAATCAATCATAAACTGGAGAATGAATACAAACTACAAGAATTGGACAATTTTAGTATAGACTTTGATATGAATTTGTTAATGAGTCCAAATTATTCAAGTAATATGAACAGATTCTATTCAACAACAGGCAACAGGTGGAGAAGATGACATAGACCAAAAAAGTGAAGGAGAAGGTGAATTATAGGTATTAGTGGCAGATGTTACTAAGCGTGGTGTTGAACATTGTGACCATGACACGACAACAAACAAATCAACTTTCGAGAAGACAAATATAGCAGTTCGAAAAGAAGAATGAAGTGAACTGAAAAAAAAGATAAGATTGAACAAAGTACATTTGCTAAGCAAAATTATCATGGGAATGAAAAGAAAAAGAAAAATTTGTGATAAAATGTGTAAACGTTAGTTTGCACGAATGTTATTCATGACCACATTCAATAATAATTTTTTATCATTCTTATATAATTATTTTTATATTGAAACGAAACAGGGTTTAAAAAAAATATTTTAACAGTACTTTTGGTCAGAAGTAATATATGTTTTAAAACATATTGTAAACATTGTTGCAAAAACACATTAAATATTTACATATGTTTATAAACATTGTTNTTGGCTGCAAGTACTCGGGCAGACTCCCGAACGAGTCCAGAACAGGGGCGTCCTTCGCCTTGTCGCCAGTCACCGCCCCGCTCGCGGGTTCCTTTCCCGGCCTCCTGGATTCTTGGAGCGTCCTGAGGGGCTTCTCCTCGGATTCGGTCTCAGATTCTTCGACCTGGACCTGTTTCCTTTTCTTGGACCTTTGGGCCGGAGCCTTCCGCCTGGGGCGAGCAGGAGGTGCTGGAGCGACCTGTTCTGTTCTGGTCGTTTCTTGTGCAGGACGAGGCTGCGAAGTCGTAGAAGTTCGCAGCGGTTGTGCGAGAATGGCGCGAGCAGCTTCGGCCTCCCTTTCCCTCTTCCTCTCTCTCCTTGATCGAGGGAAAACAAATGGCGCTCGGCGGGACTGCCCGGACTCCTTTGGGGGCATGGTCTCTGCATTTAAACTTGTCAGTAAGGGAATTTATATCACGACCAGAAAGTTACCAACATAGCTTACCGTCCAAGGGTTCTAACGATGCCTTGTCGGAGAAAAAACCGTACTTCCGCAGGTTCGCGGTCGTCACAAGCTTCCTCGCGTCCCGCTGTTCCTCGTCTAGTACCCCGAAAGATACGAGCCTGTTCGGGTCGGCGAGCAATTCTTGGCTGGTCGTTCTATTAACTGCATAAGAAAACAGGTCGTTAGCCAACGATCGTGCGAGCAGATAACAAATCCAGCAAAAGAAAACCTACTTGGATCCTGAAAGTGGCGGTGACCGTCATAAACGAAAAAGAAAAACTTTGTCTCGTAGGCCCCCGCATTGCTGGGATAGCTATGTATCCCCGCAGCAATGGTAGGTCGCCGAGACAAATAGTAGGAATCCTTGTCCCTACTCTTCTTCAGGTAGTAGGCGACACCGAGCTCCACCGCCGACGGCTCCCCCAAGCCGTTCTCGCAGCACGCAATGTACATCGCGACGGCGATGACATACGCGTTTGGCGTCAGCTGCATAGGTGCGATCCCGAAATGATCCAGGACCGACCTAATGAAAGGGTGGAAGGGAATCCTCCCCCCACCCTTGAAGATCTCCTCAGAGATCGCGGCAAGGCCATCGGGTGGGCTCCGTGACGGCCTAGTGTGGTCGAGGAACACCTCCTTACGGATATCGAACTGCCGCTTTATTCTAGCATATTCCTCAGAGGTAAGGACCGAATAGACGTCGAGAGCTGCGTCCTCGGGAGCCCCCCGCGAGGACGAGCTGGCTCCTCCCTCGGTCCTGGATGTTGACGGTTCCATTCCAGTCTGCAACATCGACAGACACGGTCATTTGGGCCTTCGTGTTTGTCCCGTACGGCAGCAAGGGACAAACAGTTAAAACCTAGTGGTGATTCAAGCCGCTATCCACGGCTCGAATCCAATAACGGCGTCGCGACTCCGGTGAAACACCGGAAGACCCAACGCCGTGGTTCAACCAAACTAATCCAAAAAAAAAAAAAAAAAGGAGAAAAGAAATAACCTCTCTGTGGTATATGGAGTTAGGGCCGAGACTCGTTCCGGTTGCCTGAAAAGCGGCGACGGGAGAAATGACTCTTGGTTTGCCAAAGTTTGTCACTCAAAGCGAAAGAAATTTCGGTGACCTCGTCTGAAAAATACAGAGTTTTATAATGGATAGCGAAACGACGGTACCACCCCTCGGAGTGCGAAACGGCAGAGTCCCTCTCCCGCTATTAAATGCGCCCCCAGTCGCGTTAAATGCCGTGAAAAGGGGCGCCATTTTAAACTCACATCGCATTAAATGCAGTGATGTGGGCTGTCGGTTTCAAACGCGTTAAACGGTCAATACTGTAAAACGGTGGGGTCATCATACCGCGCATTAAATGTGTCTGACAAGCGCTGTAACAGCAGAGCGCCTGACAGCACAGGGACAGATCATTGAACCACTAAGGTGCAGAAAGGAGCGTCCGTCAAGTCCAGGGCGCTGAGATAAAGAGTGTAGGTCAGCTTGGGCAAGGGGTCGCGGAGATCGCGCGAGATTATGTTCGCTGCGAGTTTTAGGTGAGCTCGCCCCATCCAGGTCGGACGACCAAAGTCTCCAGTGTGACTTAGTTTCCAAGGCTCGTTCCTCGAACCTTAAAAACTAGGGGGTTCGTTATGCGGGAAAATGAAGAGCTGACGTGGAAGGAGTCGCGTCAGGAGTAACTGCCCCCGTCAGGACAATGTGCGCACGTCAGACCTGGGAATAAACATGGAGCTCACAGCGTCCGTCTCTCTGCAGCAAGTCATGCAAAGTCAGCTTGGAAAAAGGGAAAAAAGGGACGTGAGATGGATGACGTGCTGACAATCACACCAACCCGTAGATTTAATGATGATACACGCTTCCATTCGATATAAAATGTAGAAAACCTCACCATTAAGGGGGTGGTTCATTCATTACCCAGAGATAACTCTCTCTCTTGTAAAAAGTAAGAGCAAAGTACTTTCATTAACATCTCTTGTACGTCAGTCCGCTTAGCGACCTGACCCACACCAACATCAATACAAAATCAGTGGACGTAGGATTTGCTACCTTAGCATCCGAACCACTTAAAAAGCCCCTTTTCATTTATTTCTGTGAAAGGCATCCATTGTCACGAGCATAAAATTCATAAAACAGTGTCACCCACGTGACAATTGGTTGGTGCGCAAATCGAGCATCAACATATAGAGATATCAGGACTAAATTAAAATTATTCTTTCCTCCAGTTCCTGCATGACCCATTATTTCATTATTTCATATAATGGGTCCAAACTGGAAAAAAATAAAAATGTCCTTGAGGTAATCTCAATATTACTTGTCAACAAATATGGATATCATTACCATATTTTTCTTGTTCATCAATCCACTACTCATGTTAACAAAACTTCAGGTTTGTTATTCGTATTTAGAACTTCATGTCTAAATCCATAGTTGGATTGATATTTATTATTTTAAATAAGATTTTGAGAATAGTATTGGATAGTTGAATAGGGGAGTATTATGAGGTAAAATTTAAAAATTTATAAAAAAAACCCCCTAGGTTTGCTAATTTAATTAAACACCCTAATATATAAAATAACAAAAATACCCCCACCACCCGCAGTGCCAGATCCCGGCCACCACCGCTGGAATCTGGCCGAAAAATTACGTTACGACATAGACTGGTCGGATTTGTGTCGTAACGCGTGGATATGGCCTTTTCTGGCTAGATCCACCACGGATCTGGCCGGAAAAGACCAGATCTACGGCTCCATCAACGGCCGCAAAGGTCCATCTTTGGCCATCGCTAATGGCCAGATCCACCAAAAAGGCCAAATTAGTGAATTACCGGCCATTTCCGGTTGTGGTGTGACTATTGTGACAGATTCCGGCTACCACCGGCGGTGGTTACCGGAATGTGGCAAGTATTGGTGGGTGGGGGTGTTTTTGCTAATTTTTTAACTTTTTTTCTGGGGGTATTTAGTGAAATTAATAAACTTAAGGGGTCTAAAATTAATTAAAAATAGACTAATATTTCTAGAATAATGTGCCAAACAATATTTGGGGAATATGATTGAGAATATGGGTAGAAATAAAAAGCCAAACAGACCCGACATTTAGAACTTTAGGTTCTACTAAATATTAAACTTCAAAATTTAATCTAAACTTCATTTCATGATATGGAACTTCAGGTCCATTTATCATCTTAATCTGACAAACTTTAGTTTGTAATAATATTTATTGTATCCAGGCACGTAGCCATATAGTGGCTTGTGGGTTCAATTGAACCCACTGAACTTTTCAAAAATTTCAAAAAAATATTAATAGTTTATGGATTTTACAATTTTAACCCAATTTAACTTCATGTTGACCCCACAAAATAAATTATTAATTAATATTTTTTAAACTTTTATCTTTTCTTTATTTTCTCTCTTTTGCTCTCATATTATATTTTTTCTTTGGTTTGATACTCAAGAAAGGTTACTCATTTGGATTACAAGGTAAGATGATACTAATTTTATTTTTATTTTTTTACTTAAAATTAATTCTTTTCTTTTAACTTTCCTAACTGATGAAAGATCATGAAAGGTTACTCCTTTGGATTTTGTTGAGTTTAATAAATGGGTTTGAAATAATTCCTATATTTTGATGTGAGTTTTGATTTAATCTTGTTTATGTTAAGGTATGAGTTAATTAATTGTTGTTTTAAGTTGGGTTTGATAAATTGTGGTTAGTTATTGAGTTAATTTTGAATATGGTTTAAAGAATTAATTAAACCCTAAGTTGTAGAGATTTGAGGATTTGATTTAATTTTGATATATTGGTTAATTGCTTAATATTTAGAGTTAGATTTGATGAGTTTTCATGGGTTTATGAGTTGAATTTTATTGGGTTAGTAGAAATTGTTTGAAAAACCTAAGTTATGAGTTGAATTTTGATAAATTTGTGTTGTTTTTTAATTGTAATTGCCAATAAATTATATTTCTGATAATAAAAATTCTTTTATTTTTTTTAGTTATGGATTAGTTTTTAATCAAAAGAAAGATTTCTAATGAGGAACGATCAATTGAACAAAATATAAGGCGTCACGATAGTGTTCATAATGAGTCTATATAATTTAGTTCAAGACAAACATATGTTAAGCTTAACTTGAGTAGTCTTCTTACAAATCTTGAATTGAGGATTAAACTTTTAGAATATCATCCTAATGATAGAGACAAAGTAAGAAAGACATATTTGCAAAAAGGACTGCCAACTACACAATCATAATTTTAAAAAGCGAGCAATTGGGAATTTAATGCATTGTTTTAATCCCATTTGGTTTAGAGAATATGCAAACTGGTTGGAGTACAGTATAGAAAATGAGGGTGTTTTTGTTTGTGATGTTATCTTTTTAGATATAAAATTAGCATTGATATTAACTGTTGCAATTGCAAGTGTTGAAAGAGCATTTTCTACGATGAAGATTGTGAAAAACCAACTATGGAATCGAATGGGAGATCAATTTTTAAATGATTATCTTATTACATATATTGAGAGAGAGATGTTTGATAGAATCGTCAATGAAGCAATTATGCAACGTTTTCAAAATATAAAAAATCATCGAGGACAATTGTAGAATTGATAATTTGGTCTATATAACTTTTAAAAGTACATTTTTTTATGCTTATTACTTCAGTATAAATTTATTGTAAATTTATCAACTTTGATGAAATGAACCCACTGACTCAGAATCCTGGCTACTTCCCTGATTGTATCAAATGATACTAATATAGCAACAATATAATTCATAAAAATAAATAACAAAACTTAAATCAAATCAACGTTGCATTGACTTTTAATATGACTTAATAAAAAAAAAAAGAGAATTTTTTTTTTTGGTATAAACATAGATAGCAACTCAAATTTCTTTAATAATTTTGATCAGCGAAACAGTGACGTTTGAAATATAAGAAAGTGGTGGGTTAAGGGTGAAGAATAACATCCAGCGAAATATAGTTAAAGTATAATTTAGAAAAGCATGAATATTCTTAAACACAAAACACAAAACACAAAACAAACTCAAAAGATCCATGCATTTTTTTTTTTTAATCAAATTAGAATAAAAGACCTCTAAAAAACAAGCATGATTCAATTCTAAAGTAAACTAAATTGAAATAAGCAATACATGTACCTAAAACTGATAAAACAGAAAACAGAGCTAATTGTGATACCTTGAGTAGTGAAAGCTTCAACAATTTCAGTCTTCAAAAGTTTTAAGAGCGAATAGCATGAGAAAGAGAAAAATAGATTGAGAAAATAAATAATTTTGGGGATAAAATTATAAAAAACAGGTGAAGCCTTGTAGAGGGTTTTAAACTTTCAATATGATATGGGCCTGAAATATATATGTTAATAGCAAGTTTTTTGTGGACCTGGATATAGTATAATAATTCTCATTTTTTTAAAATCAGAGGGTAGATATGTATAGCAATTTTTTTGTGAGCCTACATAAGCACTTTTTTTTT